ACCATGTGAACTGTTTGGTTTTCGTTAAAAAATAATTAAGATAACAATTTTAGTTTATATTACGTGATTATATTTATTTTAATCACAAACATAAAGTCGTATATTCTTCATTTCATATAACTTCTATATTTACATTTGGTTTTATTTTGAATGTAGCTACCATTTCAGTTTCTTGATATATGTCATTAGGGATCAAGAATTAAGATTGATATGCAGAGCTAAGTTCTTCAATTTTTGTTTCTTAGTTAAGCAGTGCATCCATGTGGTGTTTCTAACTTATTTGGCAATTGTAGATCAATACTGACATTCTTTTTGCGTTTAGAGTTTTCTAAGTAAGGGCAAAAGAGGCGATAGATACACAAGTTCTTGAACAAATTAAGATTTGAGTATATCTTAATTCTTCCTAAAATTTTTCATTTCTTTTCTTGGTCAAAAAAATTTCCATTTTCATAATAGCAAATTTTAATATGTTTGATCGCATCAAAACTTCCTTTGAAAATCACTAACTGGAGCCCTTCCGGTGGGAATCATCTTGCTCCAAAGAGGTCTAGTAGACAATGCATCTTGTAAAAGATGTGGAGCACTTCATGTACTCCAAGATTGCCCTTCAAGCTAATGTAAAAAAATATATGTTTGATCGCAATGTAATTTGATGCCAATCTTAGTGGTATATATGTTCCAAAATTCATTGTTTCATTATACACTTACGACTTACGAGCTAAATTTCTAGATAGAAATCACGATTTTATTTAGAGATAATTACTAAAACAATTTTGAAAAGTAGGTTAATTACTAGAACAACTTTTATTCAACCTTGAAACTCAACACAAGTTATAAAAGACAAATAAACTTTAGTAACAAGTTTTTATTACGAAAATGTCATTCATAATTTGTAAAAAAAAAAAAAATCAAACATTTGTTTGAAACCACGGCTGCGGAGGCTACGGAAGCACCGGATCGAGCTCGACGGAGGTGCGGCGGAGGTGTAAATCATATTAAAATCTTTTGATTTTTTGTTAGAAAAAATATATATGATGTTAGATCTACTAGTTTTAGGTAAAATCTAGTTGAAAACGAGTTAAAATACAGTAAAAACGAGTTAAAAAATGTCTGGCCGCCATTGTTAGGGTTTGATAAAAGTTTGGTGTTTTGTGGAGAAGATGAAAGGTAAATTACAATTTTACCCTTTATTGAATAAATCTACCACTACTATAAATAAGTCTACCACTACTATAAATAAGTCTACCATATATTATAAATCTACCACTACNACGACTATAAATAAGTNTACCACATATTATAAATNTACCACTACTATAAATAAATCTACCACTACTATAAACAAGTGTAAGGTTGTTTTAGTAAANAAGTGAAAAGATTGAATAAANCTANCATTANAATAAATAAGTCTACCACATATTATAACTCTACCACTAGTATAAATAAGTTTACGATTGCGCGAACCGTCAATAACTCTACCGATTACAAAATAACTCTACCACAACTACTAATAAGTCTATCACCCAAAAATAAATCTACCACTACTGTAAATAAGTCTACGATGGCGCGAACCATCAATAAGTCTACCGCACAAAATTAACTCTATCACCACTAGAAATAAGTCTACCGATCACAAAATTAACTCTACCACTACTACAAATAAGTCTACCACATTTTATAAATCTACCATTACTATAAATAAGTCTATGATTGCGCGAACAATCAATAAGTCTACCGATCACAAAATTAATTCTACCACCACTAGAAATAAGTCTACCGATCACAAAATTAACTCTACCACTACTACAAATAAGTCTACCACATTTTATAAATCTACCACCACTATAAATAAGTCTACCATTGCGCGAATCATCAATAAGTCTACCGATCACAAAATTAACTCTACTA